CCATTCTCATTTAAATTATCTTATGAAAAGTGAATGATAATTGTATTAATGAATAAGAGGGTCTACAAAAGAACATTTTAAATACTTACACAGATATTACGAAAGTTTCTGACAGAACAATACCACAAACAAATATCTTGGATGTCTAGCAATACTAAATTTGTAACTGTATTATCTCCAGAAAATTATGCCAACTATTTGTTCACAGAACAGACATTTTTGAGTTCTAGTATGTTCTGGATTAACAGCATGTTGAAAAGGGTTTGCCCCTTTATATTCTTCCAAGAGCATCCTGACAGATTTACATGCATAAAGGACTGAGCCAGAATAATTCTACTGACTTTCACCATACCATTGTTGTCTCTTAGGGAATCTTCTGTGTACTGTGGCATGGTGATTAAAGCATTCAGCTGCTAACTGAAAGGTCGGCTGTTCAAACCTACCAGCTGCTCCATGGGAGAAAGATGTGGCCGTCTGCTTCTGTAAAGATTTATGACCTTGGGACCCCGAGGGGCCAGTTCTGCTCTGTCCTATAGAGTTGCTGTGAATTGGAATCATCTTAATGGCAGTGACTGGTTTTGGATTTGGCATCAACAGTCAGATCATTAGTCACTTACCCTGTGACATAGTAAGCTCCCTTTCTCATGACAATGTACAATTGTCATCCTTACTTCTGAACTGACCTATCCTTAGGGAGGAATGAGATGATCAGAGAGGAGTTTTTGTCATTTCTTAGAGGCTAACTACAAATGTTCCATGTTCTGGAGATACAAAGATAGGGTTTTTGTCTTCAAAAATCTGAAATTTACATGAGCAATTATATATGATATGTTAACTGTTATGGTGGTGTAAACACAAGGCACAGTGAGAATCTGGGTGGAAACCCTATAGTTCCTGGCTTCACAGAGCAGGTGGTGACACTATACAAAGAGGCAAGTTAACTATGCCTAAGCTCAGCATGATCAGATATAAGTAAATTCTTGGACCCAGTCATTTTCTTTTAGTATTTAATGCCCTAGCTGTCTCTTTGTCAAAACTTTTCATTGTTTTTTTCTTACACTTTATTTTGAATAAAGTCTAATTTTTATTCTAGGCCTTTTTCTACAAAATATAGTATAGTCTTTACCCCAAGGATCACACTCATACTGAGACTAAAAACATTATGATTGGCTCATTGTTTGTCCCTTAAACTTGGTTCTAGACCCATTCCTCTCACTAATGTTGGTATTAATTGCCTAAAGTAGGCAAACAATTTCTAACTGTAACTACATGTTTCTTTTCACAGGTAATGAACTTACAATGTTCTTCATGTGTTTCACTAGTATTGTCAGCTTCATATTCTCATATGATATGACTAACTGCACCTTAGGCTTCTTGTCGGTCAACTTCTCACCTGATAAAACAATAGAATTTCAGAGAGTTAAATTGGAAGTGACTCAGCACAGGATAAATCCAACATTTAGACTAACACAGGAGCAATGAATAATATATAAAATAAACATTCTTCAGATAAATTTGAAATCGTAATTGTATTCAGGAGGCTGGTTTGGTTAGATAAAAGGTGGGATTTGTCTCTAATCTTCATGAACCAATTCTTCTTCCTAACATGTCCTGTTTTGGTTTAGATCATTTTTTACTACAGTTTTCTCTTTAATGTTCACTATTAGAAATTTAAAGAATTAGAGCATGAAGTTAAAAGTGTGGGTTTTAGAAGTCAACAGTTTGAGGTTCAAGTCCCAGCACTGCTACTTATAATTGTCATCATGAGTAAGTTAATCAACATTTTGTAAAATTGACATAACAGTTACCTACTGCAGGATAGCTGAGATGATAACTGGTAAGATTCGCTAACTTATCACATGGTAAGCTGTGAAAAAATGTACGTAATTACTAATAGCTACATATTTGCACACATCTCCTCCTTTCTCTTCCACAGCACTGAGTTCAGACTCAGAATGTTTGGGACAGTTTTTGCCCTCCCCTACAACCCAAATCTAGTTGCACTCAGTTACCAAAACAATCTTCCTACAGCAAAGTATCTTCCATAGCTTTCCATTGCTTATGAAGAAAAAGGCTGTAATACTCAGCCTTGTATTGTTGGCACATATTAATGTTTGTTTTATTCCCCACTAATATTCTATACTTTAGTCCATGTGTTCAGTTTTACAAATCCTCTCCAATAAAATCTGCAAAAGCCAGAACCTATGTGAGGTGGAAACCTGTCAGAAAAGGAAAACACAAATATTTCCACTAAAATGAGTGATAGAAAAGTGGTAACCTTTCTCCCCGTCAAAGGCAGAAAACTTGTGAGTCCAGGAGAAATAAGGCAGTCTCATTGAATTCCAGTGCTGATAGGTTTCACTGTATCTCCTTCCAGACATTGTTTATATTATTCCCTTCATTTGAAATGATCTCTTGCCCCCACTTTTGGCCATTGAACTTTTATTCATGTTAATTATTTTTTTACACAGTAGATTAAAATCCTCTAAGGGTTTAATTTATTTCCTATATCCCCATGGGACATAAATCAGTGCTTGCTCCATAAAGCACTTACCAAATATTTATTTAATAACAAAAATAACCTCAATTTTCCATTTGAGTAATATGTATCATCATTAAAATGCATATTTTAATTTTTCAATTATAAATTTCTGGTGTATAGCCCAAGGATTAAACATAATTTACAGTTTTTCTAGTATTTTCTTTGATATTCTCCAATTGTATGTTTTCTGAGAAATATAGAAAAAAAAAATTATTAATAAGGAAATTGGCAAAATTATACCGTAGGCTCAGTGTGGTGTACATCGGTTTCTGATGGCCAGTCATGACTCATCAATCATCTCTAACTTTTGGAAATTAAACCTAAGATGTGTATTTTCTTCCTGAAAGTCTTTTATATGTTTGCAAAAGTAGTTTAGACATTGCAAGTATACACTGCAAGTCTACCACTCGTTGGTCAGTTTGTTGTACTGTGGTGGCTTGTGTGTTGCTGTAAGGCTGGAAGCTATTCCTCTGGTATTGCAAATAACAGCAGGATCACCCATGGTGGACAGGTTTCAGAAGAGCTTCCAGATTAAGACAGACTAGGAAGGAGGACCTGGTGGTCTACTTCTGAAAAAATTGGCCAGTGAAAACCTTATGAATAACAGTGGAACATTGTCTTACATAGTGCCAGAAGATGAGCCCTTCAGGTTAGAAGGCATTCACAATACTACTGGAGAAGAGCTACTTCCACAAAATAGCATCTGCCTTAATGACATGGATGAAGTAAAACTTTTGGGACCTTCACTTGCTGATGTGGCATGGCTCAAAATGAGAAGAAACTGCTGCAAACATCCATTAATAGTTGGAATGTGGAATATATAAACTATGAATCTAGGAAAATTGGAAGTTTTCATAAATGAAATAGAACACATAAAGGTTTGTATCCTAGGCATTAGTGAGCTGGAATGGACTGGTAATAGCCATTCTGAATAGGGCATGTGGTCTACTATGCCAGGAATGACAAATTGAACAGGAATGGTGTCACATAAATTGCCAAAAAGAACATTTCAAGAGATCCTGAAGTACAATGCTGGTAGTACTAGGATAATATTCATATGCCTTCAAGGAAGATCAGTTAATATGGCTATTATCCAAATGTAGGCAACCACCACTAATGCCAAAGATGAACAAATTGAATATTTAATATCAACCTCTGCAGTCTGAAATTTATCAACATGCAATCAAGAGGCATTGATCATTATTGATTATTAGAATGTGAATGTTGGAAACAAGGAAGAAGGATCAGTATCTGGAAAATAGCAACTTAGTGAAAGAAATGATGCCAAAGATGACATAATAGAATTCCACAAGACCAATGATTGATTAATTGCAAATACCTTTTTGCAACAACATAAACAGTAACTATACACATGGACCTTAAAAGGAGCTCTGGTGGTATAGTGGATAAGGCACTCGACGGCTAACTGGAAAGCCAGCAGTTCAAGTCCACCAGCTGCTCTGTGGAAGGAAGATGGGGAGATCTACTTCCTTAAAGATTTACAGCCTCAGAAACCCAGTGGGGGTCGTGATGGAATACACAGGAGTCAAATCATCTACAATTATGGAGAGATGATGGAGAAATCAATATCTTCAGTCAGGAGGAGGCTAGAGGCTTACTACAGAAGAGATCATCAATTGGTTATATACAAGTTCAAGTAGAAGCTGAAGAAATTTAAAACAAGTCCCTGAGAGCCAAAGTATGATCGTGAGTATATCCCACCCAAATTTAGAGATCAACTCAAGAACAGATTTGACACACTGAATACAAATAATCAAAAGCTAGATGAGCTGTGGGATGACATCAAGGAAATCATATATAAAGAAAGTAGTAGGTCATAAAAACAAAGAAAAGTCCAAAATGAGTGTCGGAAGAGACTCTGAATCTTGCTCTTAAATGTAGAGTAACTAAAGGGAATGGAAGAAATGAAGTAAAAGAGATGAACAAAAGATTTCAATGGGCAGTTTGAGGAGACAAAGGAAAGCATTAAAATGAAATGTGCAAAGACCTAGAGTTACAGGGTAGAACATGCTTAGAATTTCTCAAACAGAAAGAACTGAAGAGAAAATTCAAGCCTTGAGTTACAATACTGAAGGATTCTATGGACAATCTATTGAATATGCATTTTGATGCATGAAGCATCAAAAGAAAATGGAAGGAATACAGAGTTATTGTACCAAAAAGAACTGGATCGATAATACTAAAGAAAGAAGTCCAATTGACACTGAAGGTATTGGAGAAAAAGAAGGCTCTAAGAGTTGACAGGGGAGCTCTGGTAGCATAGAGGCTAAGACACTTGCCTGCTAACCAGACGGCTGGCGGTTCAAACCCACCAGCCACTCCTCGGAAGGAAGGTTGGGCAATCCTACTTCAATAGTGATACTGCCTTGGAAACCCAAGAAGGGGTCGCTATGAGTCGGGTTTGACTCAACGGCACATAACAACAACAACAACAACAAGAGTTGACAGAATATCAATTGAGAGGTTTCGACAGATGCAATGTGGGATGTGCTCACTCATCTATTCCAAGATGTGGAAGACAGTTACTTGGCCAACTGATTGGAAGAGATTCATATTATTGCCCATTCCAAAGAAAGGTGACTAAATGGAACACATAAATTATTGAACAATATAATTAATACCACATGCAAGTAAAATTTTACTGAAGATAATTCAAAAATGGTTGCAGCAGTACACCAACAGAGAATTGCTAGAAATTCAAGCCAGATTCAGAAAAGGACACAGGATAAGGGATATCATTGGTGATGTCAGATGGACCTTGGCTGGAAGCACAGAATACCAGAAAGATGTTTACCTGTTTTTTATTGCCTATGCAAAGATATTTGACTGTGTGAATCTTAACAAATTACAGATAACATTGCAAAGAATGAGAATTCCAGGACTCCTAATGGTGCTCATTAACACTGTAAAAGATCAAGTGGCAACTGTTCAAGTAGAACAAGGGGATACTGTGTGGTTTAAAATCAGGGAAGGTGTGTGCTAAGGTTGTAAGATTGTATTCTTTCACCATTCTTATTCAGTATGTATGCTGAGTAAATAATCCAAGAAGCTGGACTCTATTAAGAAGAATGCATCATCAGGATTAGAAGAAGACTCATTAACAACCTGTGATATGTAGAGGACCAAAACCTTGCTTGCTGAAAGTGAAGAGGACTTACACTTATTGTTGAAGATCAAAAACTATAGCCTTCATTATGGGTTACACTTCAAAATAAAGAAAAAAAAAAAGTCCTCACAACTAGACCAATAAGCAACATCATGATAAATGGAGAAAAATTAGAAGTTATCAAGGATTTCATTTTACTTGGAATCCATAATCAACACCCATGGAAGCAACAGTCAGGAGATCAAGTGACATATTGCCCTGGGCCAATCTGCTACAAAAGACCCCTTTAAAGTGTTAAAGAGCAAAGATGTCACTTTGAGGTGCACCTAACCCAAGCCATGCTATTTCAATTGCCTCATATGTATGTGAAAGCTGGACAATGAATAAGAGAGATCGAAGATCAAAGAATTGATGCCTTTGAATCATGGTGTTGGCAAATAATATTGAATATACCATGGATTGTCAGAAGAACAAACAAATCTGTCTTGGAAGAAGTACAGCCAGAAGGCTCCTCAGAAGCAAGGATGGTAAGACTTTTCTTGTACTTTGGTCATGATATCAAGAGAGACTAGACCCTAGAGAAGGACATCATGCTTAAAGCACAGGCTCAGCAAAAAAGAGGAAGACCCTCAACAAGACTGGTTGACATAGTGGCTGCAAAAATGGGCTCAAACAGCAACAACTGTGAGGATGGTGCAGGACCTGGAAGTATTTCGTTCTGTTG